TAGCTCATAATCATATGTGGGATCTCACCGCTCCCTCTTAGCAAGCATGTTGTAGGTTATAACTATGTATACACTATCAAGTATTTGCCAAATGATAGTGTAGAACAGTTGAAAGCTCATTTGGTTGCAAAAGGTTATTCATAGTTATATGGCATTGACTACACAAAAGCCTTCTCTCCTATTGCTAAGATTGGCTCAATCCATGTTTAGATTTCCCCAGATGCTATATATGGTTGACCTCTGTTTCAGCTCAACATCAAGAATGCCTTTTTTACATGGTAACCTTCTTGAGGAGGTCTACATGGAGCAACCACCAGGGTTTGTTGCTCAAGGGGAGAATGGAAAGATGTGTAGACTCAAGAAGGCTATTTAGACTTAAACAATCTCCTCGTGCGTGATTTGGTAGATTTAGTAAAGTGGTGAAAGAATTTGACATGAAACACTATCAGATTAACCATTCAGTATTTAGCAATGATTCGAGTGCTTGGAAGATTTTGTTGGTGGTATATGTAGATGACATTGTTATTACTGGTAGTGACAGGTTGGGAATTAATATACTGGAGAACTTTTTGCATGATCACTTCCAAAAAAGGATAATGGTAAATTAAAATATTTATTGGGGATAGAGGTAGCAAGTTTTAAGCATCATATTAATTTATGCCAGAGGAAGTATTTTCTTGACCTATTAAAGGAGACAAAATTGTTGGGTGCCAAACCAGATAAAACACCCATGGAACCAAATGTCAAGTTGAGTAATGATGTAGGTAAGGAGTTCAAAGATTCTAAAAGGTACAAGAGGTTGATGGTTAAGTTGAATTATTTAACTATTATGCGACCATAATAGAATTTGATTATCACTTTGTGAGAGAGAATGTGTTCATTAGAGTGATAAGTATTGCATATGTAAACACATGAAGTCAATGGTGGGCTTGTTCACCAAAGGGTTGACTTTGGGAAGAGTGGACTACATATGTAACAAGCTGGGACTATATGGCATATACTCACCAGCTTAAGGGGGAGTGTTAGAGTCGATCGTAAAGGGGTAGTTTGGTCATTTTTTTATGTTAAGAGTGTGGTGTAATGTCTTTTATATTATGGTTTAAGTGTTGTGTCCCATACATAATTAGGGGCATAACTATCTTTGTATTTCTAATTAGAAACCTATAAATAATATCTGGCCGACTAGAGAGTCTTCTTCTCTAGTTCGAACCAATCTTTCTCTTCTCTTTCTTCTCTACTCTTTTTCTTTGTTATTGTAGAAATAAAACTAATACAGATCTGAATTGTAAAAGCATACATGCATACATACATACATACATGTGTATATATTATAGAATGGATATATTTTATAACATATATTATGAAAGCAAATTTATGTAAATATATTTTTATATTCTATATATAATACAAAATTATCCTATATATTAAAAAACATTTATTATATATATAATATAAAAATTATTCATTTTCAAGAACTCAAGCTAATCAAATATTTAATCGAACCAAGCTCGGATCGAAAAATTTAGTTCCACAAATTTGAACTTGAACTCGAACCTAGGAATATATTAGTCAAGTCAAGACAAAGCATTCCAAATTTCAGCTTGATTCAGCTGGAATACACCCTAGCTATGACCCAACATGTCAGTCATTGTACTTCTTTCTACGTCCAAGGTGAGGGCTTGTTAAGGATGGCTTTTATCTTCTCAAGATTTGCTTCAATACCTCTTTGTGTTAATATGAATCCGAGGAATTTGCCTAAACTAACCCCAAACACGCACTTACTTGGATTAAGCTTCATCTTGTACTTTGTAAAGTGTTGGTCAGACTTGACACTTTCACCATGTTATCAATGTATGCCTCTAAGTTCTAAGCAATCTGGTCCTTGAACATCTTAACGAGTTGTTGATATATGCCATTGGTGTTCTTTAATTTGAAAGGCATCACCCAATAATAGTACACCCAATGTGGTGATGAACGAGGTTTTCTCTTGATCGAGCAGATCCATCCTGATTAGATTATACCCTGAAAAAGCTTTCATGAAGCTAAGCAACTCATCACCCGAGGTTAATGAAGTCAATGCAAATGTGTCACTTCCCATTTGCCTTTTTTGCCATCACCACATTGATGATCAGCCACCCGGGCTAGTCCAGTTCTCAAATGAAATTTGTCTTTAAAGAGTTTCTCTACCTCCTCATCAATGACATACCACCTCTCCAAGACAAAATTTATTTTCTTTTGTCGAATGGGGCAATAGGTTGGGTCGACGTTGAGTCGATGAATGATCACTTTAGGGTCAACCCTTGGCATGTCCTGTACAGACCAAGAAAACACATTTGCATTAGTCCTTGAAAATACTTACGATGTTTGCCTAAAGACTATGACCCAATAGGGAATCCTATTGGAATGGTCTTCTTGATGTCACCATCAAAAAGTGGTACCTGTACAAGGCCTTCCATCAATTCTCCATGCTTTGTTGTGAGCTCTTTCCAAAGGTCCAAGCCATCAACGGCTCCTTCATGGCATTTATTGTGTGCCGACCAATAGAGTGACTCGATGTTGATAATCAAGAGCTCCATAATCCTTTTAACCTAGTTTGGTGACTCTCCAAAGGTAACAGGGAGGGTGTTCTTTCCATCTGGTCGAACTGTGTTTCTAGAAAATCTAGCTATGGATGTGTTGACTGGTTGGAGGCACTTGGTGTTAATCTCTATCTGCTTAAATGCTTTGAAGAGGATGATGTCCACCAAGCTCATAGTGTCGTCGACCAAAATCCGGCAAATAGTGAAATTTGCCACAATTAGTGAAACGACTATGGTGCCATCATGTGAAACCTGCATTCCCTTCATGTCCTCATTCAAGAAGGAAACCCCATCGTCGAGTTGGGATTTCATGTCTAGTTGTTGGACAACTTGAAGCGTCTGGGCATTGGATTTCCAAGCCAAAAGATCTCTCTCCCTAATGCCTCTCGTCCTAAGATAATGGCTATGACTCCGGCTGTCAACTTGTTCCCTCTGGCTCGGGCTCCCGATCTCAATCTCCCCTAGGTTGAGGGTTTGGCAATTTGGACGTCAGTTATCATGTTACTCCTTCACAGCCACGGAAACCTGCTAAGAAAGGGACTAATTCTAGAGGCCCTTGTGGGTGTTGATGCATGTCTATATGGCTTCTTTGCTCGGTTGCCACAAACAATGCCAATCTATTGCAATTCAAATTCTGACAATAATATAAAGAGGAACAAAATGGATGAACCAAGGTGAACAAACGAACCAAACTACTACTAAAGACCAAAAAAAAATAGAATCCCAAGGTATTCCCCCATAGTGAGCTCTCTGATATTTTAATTATTAGGTAAGCAATGATGGGTCATCGGACCGAGTAGAGGAGATTGTTCATTGAAATAAGCAAGAAGGCAAAAGAGAATTGTATATTCCGTACCTTAAGCAATGGGTCATCGGACCGAGTCGAGGATGTTGTGCCTATTTTCATGTTCACGAAGAGTCTTAGGCGGTGTTGGGCACCGCGTTCATCTCGTCCACGGGATGAACACCTGTTCGGCTGGCTGTGAATGGGCCGGTCCATGCTATATCGTGGCCTGATCTCATTCACACCCCAATTTAGCTGCAATGGGAAAAATTCATGGATAGGACCCGTTCACAGTCTATTTTTGGTCCCCTGCTTCACACTCTACCTGAAAGGCTGAAACCCTATATTGTCTGTTTCACATTTTACCGTTGGAGGTCTCCGCCGCCCACCCGTTGAAGCTCTCCACCACTGCAACGCCAACATAAACATTGTGCTTGTGAAATTACCTTCTCTAAAACATTGTGCTTGTGAAATTTGTTTTATCAATTGTTTAAATATTATTTTTTTAATATTTTTGTCAGTAAAAAATTAATTATTTTACTTATTTTTTAATTTTGATAAATTTTAAATATTTTTATCAACAAAATAATACTTGTAAATATTTAAAATATATTTTTTTATTTTTTAATTATTTTACTATTGGTTTTAAAAAAAATAATATTTATTGGTTAATATTAATTCATTGATGCATTTTTTGATATATTTATCATATAAAATGCAAAAATTAGATATTTATGATTAACTGTGTAGATCATTCATAAAACGTATATGAGATACATGCAATCGAAAAGTGTGATGTGGTGTGGATTGGTCCCTACCATAGGGCCACACCCACCAATTTCTCATCCACACTACAGAACGCCCCCTTAGTCCTACAAGGAGACAATCTTTAAGATTGGCCTAAAATTCTCGATATCTCATCCTGATCTTGTCCCACTACACACGAGCGAGTGTTCCAACAAGAATTCGATACGCGGAACGTGTATAAATCATTTGTCCTATTTCTTTTCATATTAGCCGATATGAGCCCGTATCGGGCTATTTCGGATCTGTATCGACTAATAGCAAGATTTGATCCTTGGTCGAAGTTTGTTAGTGTAAAAACTTCAAATTTTAGCTAAAGCAAGATTTAAACCTTGGTCACTTGGATTTAATAACCACAAGTTCACCAATGAGCCACACATATTTGTTTGCTTGATTATATGTATTTTTTATTTTAAGTAAAAGTGAACATTTTCACTTTTCTTAGTAAGTGACAAATTTTTATTAATAAATGTTAAAATTAATTAGTAAAATTTATATACTTATAAATATTAAGATTAATTATATTGATTTTTAAAAATTAACATTCACATTTTTTTTGTTTTTTTTTACATTTTAATTATTCCATCATTTTTCAACGATTACTAATTGTGTCACCATATGTCACACTTTATATAAACCATTAAATTATGATTTTTTACATTTAAATTACTTATTTACAATCATATAAAATATGTAAATATAGTAATATATTTTTTAAAATTTATTTAAATTTTTTACCATATATATGCATATCTTGATTTTTCATCTGTATCCGTACGTAACCAAAGCGTATCTCGATGTCTCTTAAGATTGTCTTTCAGATACACCTTGCATTTCCGATACTTTGAACCTTGAATATATAAACAATATATATGTATATATCAGTCATTTTCGATTCTACAAGCCAAACTGGCCACTAAACTTACAAGTTACAATGGATATCAATGCCTAACAATTCTTTCCCCATGATATATATATGTACACTCTTCTAGATCATAACTGGCTTGGCCTCCTTTTACCAGCATCCGTTCTCATTCTCTTTACAGGCTTCGCCCAACCCACAGTACCATCATCACCATTAGTTTGTTGAGTGGGCTGGTGGCCCCATCCATGCTGATGAGCGAACTGTTGACTCAATTTCAAATCCTTCTGAACAGGGGCCGTACTTGAACCCGGGCCTGCACCTGCACCTGGACCTGAACCCCTAACATTGCAACCTACACCAGGAGAGGCAGGTCCAGTCCTTGGCTTCACCACAGACTTGTCCCTATCTTTCCTTTTCTTCTTGCAGATTACCAGATCTCCTGGATGGGCTAGCAAGGATGCCTCGTCTCCTTGTCCCCTCTCCAGTCTGCTACTGCTTGCATGTCTTGAATCTTTCGGTAACTTGGACACATGGCCTCGACTCCTTGTGTCTTCATCAGCAGAAGTGGGGCCACGCAGCTTTGATGAAGGATTAGGTTCAGGGTCCACATTGTTGATCAGCTTGACACGCTTATTTTGGCTGTTTGTAGCCTGTTTTGGAGATGGGGCAGAGGTAGCTCCTGGACCAGAAAACGAGATCGCATTTCTTGCCTCCTGTAGATCCGCATCAGGAAATGCAATCTTCATTATGTCAAAGAAAAGATCTTGTACTTTTCTTGCTTCAGATCGTACCTGCATGTTGAAAGTATAAGGTTGTTAGAATCCTGTATTATGGATTCAACAAGTTACAATATGAAAAGAATATCCTGTAATTTTTTATCACTAACCAATGTAATCATAATTACAAAAATTTGTATTTTCCCCATGAGATCAAGAAGGCCTGGACAACACTTTGTTGCATCTATATGAAATGCAGGCAAACTCAGAAGAAAAATACTAGATTGCTGAGAGGCTTAATATAAGGCTGCAAATGGATTGAATAGAATAAACCTAGATCCAAATTCGATTCATTAATATTCAAATGCAAACCAAATCTTATCCATTGGATTAAGATTGAACTCAGATCAGATTAGGAATATTGAATACCATTAATAAATTAAATAAAAAAAATAATCAAGATATTATGTTTGTTAAGTAAATAAAGTAAAAACTAATTTGATTTTGTATATCATGAATGAAATGACTTGAAAATAACCTTTATGAAACTCACGACTTTAGTAAACATACAACTCCTTACCAATTTTACTAATAGATATATTGATTTTATGAAGATATAAGCATAAATACAAATGATAAAATACTGTTGGATTGGTTAGGATCATATCAGATCAGGTTGGAATGGATCTATATATAATCCAACTATGAACAAATTGAATTTGGAGAAATGAAAACCATTTGCAGCCCCAGTTAAATGGCCTCATTCAATGAGCACAGCACCATCTAAACAATTCAGCATTATGTAGAAGGTGAAGCCAATGTCAGAAGTCAACATAAATGTAGAGAAAGGAGAGAGGTGGGGGTGGAGGTGGGGCTAGCATTTGTACCTCGTATGAAAAGCCAAAGTATTGCATTGCATTTTTCAACATGAACTGCACATCTGTGACAAATTCCATCACCCCATTGTATTCTAATCTGTCCACACGCTGATCAATCCTCCGCAGATCTAAGAGATTTCCCCCTGGCATGCCACTCATATAACTGGAGTTGGCACTTCTTTTCCACAAGTCCGCCAGTAAAGGTACAATTTGGTGGCCATCTTTATCAATTCTTCTCTGAAGCTTGCTGATTACATTCTTGTACTGCAAATAGAAATGGTTGCATTTTAGGTATATGCACAGTTACAAATAAATGTCATTGCATTATGTACTAGAAGAACATGGCTATGCATGTTATCACAACCAGGCTAAACCAATAACTATCTATCAGTTCTCTCCTCATTAGGTCCATGGTCACCCTTTCACCAGTTTAGTTTGCATACTGACCAATACTTGAAGCTCAAAATGGTTAGGATACTAATTGACACCCGAATACCTGAACATAGGTACTGTGTCATATACTCCATTTTGGTGTGAATTTCATGTCTCACTTCTTAGCTAATCATGTCCCTTGTCATATCTTGGTATTACAGATGCCAACCAAAAGAAAGAGACGGATACCAACTGGGAGAATTGGAACCGAGGCAAAGGATGGAAGGTTTGGGTTGAGAAGTGCCACCTAGGTTATGTACTTGAATATATTAAGTCCCATGGCAGGTAAATGCCATCTTAGAGATATTTCAACCTAAAAGAAATAAAACATTGAAAATATACTACATGCTTGAACCACCCTCATCAATCATGAATCATTGAATATAGATATTTTGCTCAACCAAATTGCATCCTTACATTAAACGTCCACCTACCCTTTAGTTGGAATAAGATTGTCACAAAAATATTACAGGATTCCTTCTCCAGTCACTGTTTAATCTAGACCTACAATAGAAACATAAGGGAAGATTAAAATGTGCATACCTTTCTTTGCATTATGTCAGACATCTTTGAGCTAAAGAAAGCAGCCCCACTTGTGTTAGATGCTTTACCATCCCAATTTTCTCTTGAATGTACTGTAGATTTTGGCATAACATGCAACTTTGAAGAATCTGTCATTCTTCTTGATGAGAAATTCCGCTTACTTTTCATGATTGAATCACCAAGATCCTGCCTGAAAGAAACAGGCTCACCATATTGTTCAAGTTCAGGATCAGTTTTCATCTGTGCTTCATAGTCATGGTCCACTTGAAGCACCATCTGAGATGAACTTCCACGCTGGGAGAATGGCTTTTCATTGCTAGACTTTTCTTCATGCCTCTCTAAAGCATGTCTAGGGCGAAGACGAATGCTGCGCTTCCTTCTTATTTTAGGTTGCAGAACCTGTTCATCTTCTCCATCATCACGGTCATGAATCCAGCTTCCAGATTGTTGGACATCCATTAGAGAATCACCTGAAACAGCAATCTCTCCTTCCTCAAGTTCATCTGGCTGGAAAACATTTAAAAGAGGTCAATAAGCATAGTAAACAAATTGATTCTACTATGAAATGTCAATGATGACGGTGTACTATGAAAAAGAACATACCGGCCTTTTTGAAAGAGAACCAGGCCTAGCATCCAATGCCGAAAGAGATCCAAACTTCTGGGAAGATATGGAAGGAGAAATAGTCTTTGCTGATTTTCGACTGTCTGAGGATGATCCTGAAGAACCAACTTTTTCCAACATATCATTATTTCTGTTGCCTTCGGATGCTGCTCGAGGATAGTCATATTTCCCATCACTAACCAGACCATCTTCTTCTGACTGATCTTTGTTGCATGGAGGCACATCAACAGCACCACTAAATTCTTCCTCTTCAAATTCTCCAATTTCTCCTTCCTCCTCAAGCAAAGAATATCCATTCTGCTCTTCTGAACTTGCTTCAGAATACTCGCCATTTTCATCATCCAACTCTCTGTAAATAGGGAACTTTTTACCATTTGACGAACCTTTTGGCCGTCCCCTTCTCCTCTCTACTTTAATGGGAGATAAATCTGAAACCCTTTCACTGGAATCCATGCCAATACTATCCACTAAAGTGTTCTTTGAGACCTTCTTGGATAAAGTAGCAACAGTAGCATCTACCTCTTTAGAGCTGGCCCGAAGCCACTTTGGTACCTGGTCATACCTTGTCATCTCTTCAGTCCAACCCAATTCTTCATCCATATGATCAAATAGTTCAGCTTCTTCTTCGCTACGAGCAATCATGCGATTCACCTCCTGCAGAGATGGAACATCATGAACAGTTTCCTGATACCTTTCTTCATCATGCAATAGTGTCTCCAAAGTCAAGCGCCTCTCTTCATGTGTGGTTCTTTGATCAAATCGACCTGCATTTATAACCTCATCTGCCATGTCAATCTTATATTGTTGAATATTGTTGCGAATAAGGCTTTCAATGGATCCCATATATCTATCTTTTCCTGCAAGGTCATCCTCTAAGTCAACTGTACCCCCACTCCTCAATTCATCCTCTTTCTGATGGCTAGAGATTTTGTCAACAACTGCTTCCATATAGATAACCCTGACCTCTCTCTTTTGTCCAATACGGTGAGCCCTAGCCACTGCTTGTTCTTCATTTTTAGGATTTGGGTCAGGGTCATAAATGACAACTGTATCAGCAGACTGAAGATTTAAACCCCGTCCAGCAGCACGAATACTCAGTAAGAAGATAAAACAATCAGAACCGGGGCTATTGAAGTCTACAATAGCTGATTCACGGTCTTCTAAGCTAGTTGTCCCATCAATCCTTCTATAGACAAGCCGCCGCCACTGCAAGTACTCCTCCAATATATCAAGGAGTTTCGTCATAGTACTAAATAACAGTACCCGATGCCCTGTTCTGTGAAGTTTTATCAGAATCCTATCCAAGATCCAAAGTTTCCCACAAGATTTTACAATGAAGCCCTTGGATAAATCACTGAAATAAGGATAATTAAGCAAAGGATGATTGCAAGCTTTGCGGAGTTCCATGCATCTATTGTTAAGAGTCTTGTATATTTTAGCCTGATAATGCGGATTCTTTTGAACTCTCCGCTTTTCTTCCTCGGGATCAACCCTAAGGGTACCAGTGAATTTAATCCAATCATATATGGCACCTTGAATAGCTGACATCCTACACCTCAAAACAATGGAAACCTGCAATAAAAAATCAATTCTAGTTACCAATCATACTTAAGCAAGCTACTCCAAAATATTTTGCCATGGTCTCTGCAGATTATTGAAACAATGCACAAGCATTCAACCACCTAAGAATGTTAAAATATTACCTTGCGTGGGAGTGACCCTTCTACATCTTCAACACGGCGTCTGAGCATAAAAGGCTCCAGGATTTGATGTAGTCTGTGGATAATGATGACCTTTTTTTCAGTCTCAAGCCAGTCATCCTCAGAATTTTGTGGAGGACCATCTTTTTGGAAAGGTTTTGAAAACCAATCATGAAATGCTTTGCGATTATCAAAGACCTCCGGAAGGAGTAGATTTAAAAGTGACCAAAGTTCTTTCAGATCATTCTGCAGAAGAGGGAAGGAAACCCCATATTCAATGAAATCACATAAATAGCAAGCAAATAACATTTCAAACACATCCTAATCAGATTAAGAAAAACCAACTTGAGCGAAAGAACAAAGGAGCAACAATCATCAGAATTTTATGCTTAAGAAACCAGCATTTTATATATATTCACTTTCTGTATCTGGCCGTCATCCTTCTGACTTGATGTAGGACCATCAAAAAAGTTAGGATTGCTGTATAATAGGACTAAGGTTAGGCATTCTCCCAAGCAGATTCATGCTGGTTTGATATGGTCACTCATTTAAGGAAGAAGCAGAGTTTTCAGGCTCAGAGAAAGTGTGGATTGGATTGGATTTTAAGATACTTGGTAGGGCTCTAGAGATCACATCTGTCTAAGAGGGAAAAATATCAGCCTCCATGGAAATTGACGGAACTTTGGTAATAGAAACTATCATGTACCTTTTTTTATTGATCACTATTCACGATGCACATGGATCTACTTGTTAAAAGGGTGTGATGAAATTCCACAGATAACCATGATATTTTATAAAATGATTGAAACTCAATTTCACAAGAAGATTAAGCAGTTTTGCTCAGATAATGCTGCTGAGTATTTTGGAAGCTCCTTAAATCTGTTCACAGAGGATGTAGGTATCTTGCATCAATCATCTTGTTCTATACCCCTTAACAAAACAGGGTTGTTGAGCGCAACAATAGACACTTATTAGAGACAGCTCGAGCCCTACTATTTCGGCACAAGGTTCCTAAGAAGTACTGGTCTCAAGCAGTCCTAACATTCAAGATTTTCCTCTTCCTCCGAGAGTCTTTGGTTGTGTTTGCTTCATCCATGTCAAGGATCCTAAAAAAACAAAGTTAGGCCCTAGGGCCATATGGGGGGTGTCTTCGTAGGATACTCTCCCACACAAAAGGGTTATAAGTGTTATGATCCAATTACCAAGAAAAAGTATGTCGCCAAGGATGTGGTATTTTTCGAGTCTCAACCTTTTTTCAGTCCTCTAAGAGTCCTCTTCAGGGGGAGACTAGTAGGATGGAAGAGGATCCTTCCTCTCTTTCCTTTTTTGTGCCACTTTCAGCTTCGGGTCTTCCATCTTCTCATCTTGATCCTCCTAGTTCTAGCTGTCCAAGTGAATCTAGTGAGACTCCTACTGAACCTGTTATTACTCCCAGTGTTTTAAAAGCGCAAGGTGCAAAAAAGGCACAGAGGTCAATTTGTGCCTAAGGTGCAAGGCACAAGGCAAGTCGTGCGCCTTTTTGAAGCAAGGCACAAAAATACAAAAAAAATGCTAAAAAAATAAAAATGTCAGAAAATTCAAAAAATATACCAAAAAATTCAAAAAAAAAACAAAAATATTAAACATAATATTAATAAAAAATATAAACGTAATTTTAAAATAAATGTTTTAAAACCCTATTATCTAAAACTAAAATGCATAAGCATAAGATGTAAAGCATATTCAAATATTGATCAAAAAAATGAGAATTTAAAAATAAAATCAAACATATAAAACATTTTCAAGCACGTAAAACCTCTAATCTCTTTTTTCACTCAATTGCATTACTGATTTCTTAATCTACGAGTCACCTTTGTGCCATGCCCCTTGAGGCAAGCCCAAACAAGTCCATGTTAGGTGTTAAATTCTTAGTTCTCGCACAAAAAATAATGAATTTATAATTTTAATTGCTTTTTAAAAAAATATTTAATTAGGATGAATGAATGAACAACATTAGCAAATAGGGGGTCCAGACGTGCACCTTTTGTAAGGGCTGCGCAGAGGACCTAGGCAAGGCACATACCCTAAAATGCGCCTCGCCTATGCGCATAGGCACGCTTGAGGCGCACCTTTTAAATCACTGATTACTCCAAATGTTGAAGATGGGACTGATGACATTAATAAACAACAAAGAGATATGGAAATCGTTTACAAGAAAAGGAAGAGATATCCTCCAACTTGTGGCAACAACCAATTGGACTCGAATCAATCTATCTCAGTAGATCCTAGTAAAAACCCTATCACAAATGCTATCACTCCTACTTCTAACTTGGATCTTTCCATTGCTCTTTATAAGCTTGTCCGTTCTTGTACTACTCAACATCACATTTCTAAATATGTTTCTTATTTGCGTTTATCTCCTCATTACTACTTTTTGCCTGCTCTTTCTTCTACCCATGTTCCCACCAAGTACTCAACAGGTTGTGTCCGATCCAAAATGGAGAGAGGCAATGAATGAGGAAATGAAAGTGCCAAGACTTGGGAACTAGTGGATTGACCAGAAGGGAAGAGCACTACAGGGTGTAACTGGATGTTCACTGTGAAGCATAAGGAAGATGGTTCAATTGAAAGATACAAGGCTAGGTTGATGGCAAAAGGGTTTACTCAAAAGGAGGAAATTTACCAATTACTACAAGCAGACCTTTGCTCCAAATGTGAAGCTTAATAAAATTCAGGTTCTATTGTCATTTGCTGCAAATTTCTCTTGGGAGCTACATCAGTTGGATGTGAAGAATGATTTCTTGAATGGGGATCTACATGGGAGGTATTTATAAATTTTCAACCTGGCTATGACTTTCAAGGGAAGGTATGTAAGCTAATGAAAGTTGTTGGAACCCAAACACTCCCTCCGAACCCAACTATGGGAGTAGAGCAGACCACCACCAATCAGCATTTCACTAGAAGACAGAAAGGGTAGTGTGACACGCTGTCACGGGGCTAGTCGTTGGGGCCCCGTGCGGCACTCGAATGCGATGAGTAAGCCTAAGCAACAAGCAACAACACAAGAAAAGGCAACAAAGATGGCACACAAATTAGACAAAAGGCAACTTGTATTGCATTAATGGATGGCAAGCATAAGCACACAGTTCAGTGTCGAGGGAATCTCATGCTTAACCTTTACATACTCTTGATTCACTCGACTACCTACCTCCCCTCAAAGAGTATGTTAAGCTTTTGGGGGAGTGACATAAAGATACATCAAAAGGATGAAAAATCATAATGGGTAATTACAAGAATGCCATTGGCAGTCCCCCATACAAAAATACATGCATAGCCCACCCATGGCACACACTTGGACACTGGAGTGGTGGCTATAGGCACGATGGATGGCAGTTGATGGCGCAGTGAAGAGAACACTTGTGACAGTCTCCCCCACTCAATTCAGTCTTCGTCCTCGAAGACTAGCTTCTGCTCGAGGCTCAAATCTGTTGTTGATGAAGGAGGGTTCTTCAGCTGCTCCACAAAGTTTATCTCTTCCAAGGCCCGGGCATGATGATGGGTGGAAGTCTTTAGGGTGTTCTGGATGGTAGGAAAATCTATGGCTAGACCCTACGTTAAGTCCTTGCAAGGCTGCTTCAAGGTAGGATTTTGGTTGTTCAGCTTTGGTGTTAGGAAGGGTTGTGGCCAGAGCTAGGTCAAAATGAAAGTTTGGATTTTTCGGGTATTGTTCCCCCTGATGATTTTTTTCCCAAGGGTTGTTCCTCACGAGGCTCCTATGAGGGTTGGCTTGATCATTGTAGCTGGAGACGGCCTTGGGTCATACAGGAGTCTTTTGTGTTGTCGGCTCGTGGTGCTGACGTTGGTGCCGTTGTTGATGCCGATGTTGGCGTTGGTGCTGCTGCTGCTGCTAACATTGGTACTGGCACTGGTGCTGATGTTGGAACGGCTTTGGGGGAAACTTCTTCCTAGTGATGACTTGCCAACCCGTCCCAGTGCTGATGTGAGATGATTGAGACGAGGTCTTCCTTGTAGGCACGGCGCTAGCTGCATGGGTATCTGCTTCCTGATAGTATTGCAGGGCCGAAAGTTGCTCCCCATGTACCTTCAAGGCTGTTGTCACTGGAATCATGCAAGGAGAACACTCATCCAAGATGAGCAAACTGTCTATGTGTGGCATGACAGCTGCTTCTGCCTGTGCGAGAAACTCCATTCCCAAGACAACTTGAAAATCATCCAAAGGTACTACAAATAGATTGATGGGTCTTTTCCATGACCCAACTTGGAGATCTACCCCACGAGCCATGCCTTCTACTGCCTTGGCCCCTGAGTTGACAGCCTTGATCCACCCTGTCAGTTTGGTGGTGGTCAAGCCGAGTCGCTTTGCCTCCGCAAGCGAGATGAAGTTATGGGTGGCCCCAGTGTCCACCAAGGCTTGGATCGGCCTCCCGCCGAGGGTGATGTCTACATATTTCAGCCCATTGTGGGCTTTGGTGGGTCGCTTGGATGTGGCCTCCTTCTTAACCATGGCGTTGATGAGTTGGAGGGCGCCTACTCTTGGCATCGCTGTGGGTTTCTCCTCATCGCTCTCTTCACTGTCGCTGAGTTTGGCGATGAGGGCCGTGAGTTTCTTCTGTGTTGGACAGTCACTCGTCCAATGGTTCCCATTGCAAAGGTAACAAGGTGCAAGAGGAGTAGTTGGTCTCCTAGTGAACCGGTGGCCCTGATAACTTGGGCCTCCTTGTGGCTTCTTCCCTTGTTGGTAATTGTTGGGCTTGTTAGTGAGCATTGGTTTCTCCTACGTAGAGGTTGATCTCTGATCTCCCCCACTCAAGCTATTGGTACGTTGGCTATGTGGTTGGTGGTCTTCCTCTTCTGACTTCCTTAGAACAACTAGTTGCTCGGCCACCACCATGGCTGATGCTAAGTCCTTCACCCCATGCCGTTGTAGTTCAAGTTCCGCCCATGGTTTGAGACCATCCATGAAGTTGAACAAAAGGTCCTTGTCAGACATGTTGGAGATCTCAAGGGTCAGGGCTGAGAACTCTTGGACATAGTCATGCAATGAGTCTTGGTGCTTCAAGTTCTTCAACTTTCTTTGTGCCAAGTACTCAACATTTTCGGGGAAGGACTGTCGCTTGATCTCTCTCTTGAAATCGGCCCAAGTGTTGATGGTCCGAGTGCCACATTCAATGTCCTTGCAACATCTACGCCACCATAACATTGCAATATCATTTAAATACATGGTGGTTGTACGTACCTGAGTCTGG